GTATAACGACATCCAAACCATGATTCCCATCATATTTAATTTTCCACAATAGCACTGCTGGTCAAAACGCACGCACAACAGAAATAATGTTAGTGTAAAAAAATCAACAATATTATGAGTGCCAGTGGAAATTGAACCTGGGTACAGTACGCGAGCAGTACTGTGATGTTTTTACAGCAAACACCTAGACCCTGAGCTGCCAGGGCGTTTTTGGTGTTGTTTTTTAATGGCTCCATCTTAATCGTCCCATAAACTTCCACTGCTGAACATGGATGAATCTCTCCCGATGTAAGGAAAATTTGCCTTAATACTCACGCTTGGCATAGGATTATATGTGGTAGAGACATGGTGTAGCTATATTAGTAGTATGGTTGTAGCACAGATGGGTCGGCTCGACCAGGGAAGAACCACGCTTTCACAGATTACCAGCGTAAAATAACAGCCTAATGCTGCTGTATTTCGTATGGTGAGTGTAGAGAACCGGAGACCCCTTTTACTAGAAACGAGGCATTCCATTTTAATCCTCACGGGTGACAACGCATCTGCATTTTGATTCGTAACCGAAGATAGATGTAGATGTCTATGGGCCACAGCAACCACTTACCATCGGGTGGACTGTATGCTCGCTTGTCACTCTTATCCTATAAAAAAAAGGATTGAGGATCACAGAACGAGATGTGAGCAACTCTGACAATGTTGCTTGTCGCCCGTCTGGTTATTTTAGATCTGAAATAAAAGAGTATCATTTGAATTTAGTTTACTTGCCATTCTTACCCCCAAAATTGAATATGAGAGACATTATCCAGAGTAATTGGCTAAAATACTTTATTTCTGGCAATATTTAAAAGTATAGTTATGTAAAATATTACAATTTCTCTATTTCTCTCTGGGTTGATTAATAGAGAATGCCATAAGGCATATGCTCCGCCGATAGTAACTGTCTAATGTGTCATACAATAAAGATTTTTTTTATTTATTTATTTATAAGCCTTTATTGCCAACACAATATACATAATTTATCATTTCATAGTTAAAAATTAAACATGCAAATTAAAATATATAACTTTAAAAGTAAAATTGACTTTAACATTAAATTCATTATTAACATTGAATTACTATTATACATTATTAATATCACTATGTATGTAATTTTAGTTGATATTATATTATTAGGTAAGTATCTCATTGTTATCGGGCGTCGCGTCGGCGTGTCTTTGCGACACGGAGGCCTCCTCCAGCTTTCTCCATTCTGCTCTTGTTTTAGCTGTTCTGTACCATATTGGACCCGCATGCTTTTTTAAGTCATCAGACCAACGTTTTCTTTGTCTTCCACGTTTCCTTTTTGTTTGGTATCTATCTATTTTGTTTCGTCCATTTATTTCTATTCTCTCTCCATCATGTGGCCTGCCCACCTCCATTTGAGTTTTCTAGTTTTAACTACTACATCTTCAATTTTGGTAATTTGTCTTAGATCTACAGCTCTCTTTCTATCTCTTTTTGTGTAACCCAGTATACTCCTCTCCATGGCTCTTTGCCATGTAATCAGTTTATGGTTTTGTTTTTGTGTGTTTGCCCAGGTCTGGCACCAATAGGTAAGGATTGGTAATATGCATGTATTGTATTATATATTGCCGAGTAGTGGCGGTTAAGAATATCCACTACCCCATATCTTCCCGTGGGCGTCGTAAAAGGCGACAAAGGGAAACAGGTAGGAGATGGGCAGCAGCATCTTCCTGGTAACGGCAAAAATACAATAAAAAAACTGCGGTTGCCAACCCGCTCGCCAAGCGTGGCAACTATGGCAATATACCCCCCATGAGCAATGACAACAATAAACGGCCCCCAGTCCCCGGCGGCCCCTCTATTCCTGGCTACGGTGGCGACCATGGTAACGGCGGGGCAGGGGGTGCTAAGAATCTCCGGTGGAGGTTCGGTTGCCACCTACGACGTCTCGACCTGGCAACATACAACGCACGCACCCTGAGGACTGACGAGAAGACTGTGGAGCTGGAAGAAGAGATAGACAAGTTACGCTGGCATATTATAGGATTATCCGAAGTCCGAAGAGAGGGGAAGGACACGGTAATCCTCGAATCCGGCAACTTGTTCTATTACCGGGAGGGCGACCATCTGTCCCAAGGAGATGTCGGATTTATCGTCCACAAGTCTCTCGTTAACAACGTTGTAAAGATTGAGAGTGTGTCGACGAGGGTTGCGTACCTTATACTCAGAATCACCAAACGGTATTCGCTGAAGGTCATACAGGTTTACGCACCAACCTCGGCACACCCCGATCAGGAGGTGAAAGAAATGTATGAGAATATCTCTAGAGCCATGCATTCCTCCAAAACCCAATATACGGTGTTAATGGGAGACTTCAATGCAAAACTAGGCACAAGAGAGAACGGTGAGCTGAAAGTGGGGAAATTTCGAATAGGGCAACGGAACCCAAGGGGCCAGCAGCTGGCTGACTTCATGGAGAAAGAGGGACTCTTTATGATGAACTCTTTCTTCCAGAAGCGGCCCCACAGGAAGTGGACCTGGTCGAGCCCCAACGGTTCGACAAAAAATGAGATTGACTTCATTATGACGACCAGACGACAACTGTTCAGTGATGTCTCAGTGATCGCGAGGGTGAAAACCGGCAGCGATCACCGAATGGTTAGAGGCACACTGAACCTAAACGTTAAGTTGGAGAGGTCTCGTCTAATGAAGTCAACGCTCCGTCCCCCTCGTGCTCTAATCCAAGGTTCCTAAACCTTTCAGCTAGAGTTACAAAACCGTTTTCAGTGCCTAGAAGACTGCAATGAAGTGGACGATTTGAATGACAAGCTCGTGGAAACTGTCCATGCGGTCGGAGCTAAGTTCTGCAAGACCCGCCGCAGAAGAACACAAAACCTCTCCGATCACACTCTTAATCTCATGGCTGTTAGACGGGAGATGAAGCTACATTCTTCAACAGATTTGACAGCATACAGGCAACTGAACAGACAGATCTCCAAATGCATGCGGCGGGACTTACGCAACTTTAATACAGCTCGTATTGAAGAAGCGATCGAGCGGAACCAAGGCTCCAAAGTCTTTGCCAGAGATCTGTCTGCCAGAAAGAGCCAACTGTCAAAGTTGAAGACCGAATGTGGCAGCATCGTTTCCGGAGCACCTGAGATTTTGAGTGAGATTGAGAGGTTCTATGGGCAGCTGTACACATCATTGTTGGAGCCGCACGCAAGTGTGAGTAACGATCCAAGAGCGAGTCTTATCCGACATTATTCCGATGATATCCCGGATGTCAGTCTGAGCGAGATTAGAATGGCTCTCCAGCACCTTAAAAACGGCAAGGCCCCAGGCGAGGATGGAATTACAGCGGGGCTTCTGAAAGCGGGTGGAAAACCGGTACTTGAAGTCCTTCAGAAGCTCTTTAATTCCGTCCTCCATGGTGGCATTACACCGGAGGCGTGGAGCAGAAGTGCGGTGGTCTTGTTCTTCAAGAAAGGCGACAACGCTCTCTTGAAGAACTACAGACCGATTTCCCTTCTGAGCCGCGTCTACGTGCTGTTTTCGAGAGTCATTACGAATCGTCTCGCGCGCAGACTTGACGACTTCCAGCCTCCCGAACAAGCCGGTTTCCGAAAAGGCTTTAGCACCATAGACCACATACATACCCTTCGGCAAACTGTACAGAAGTCCGAGGAGTACAATTTGCCACTATGTCTGGCGTATGTGAACTATGAGAAAGCCTTTGATTCCGTCGAAATTCGGGCGGTGCTGCAGTCCCTTCAGCGATGCCAAGTTGACTGTCGGTATATCGAAGTGTTGAAGTGCTTGTACAGTAGTGCTACGATGGCTATCCGAGTACAGAACCAGAGTACGAAACCTATCCAATTGCAGAGAGGTGTAAGACAGGGTGACGTCATATCCCCGAAACTCTTCACCGCTACATTGGAAGATGTTTTCAAGCTTCTGGACTGGAAAGGATACGGTATCAACATCAATGGCGAGTACATCACTCACCTTCGATTTGCCGACGATATAGTCCTTATGGCAGAATCGCTGGAAGACCTAAGCACTATGCTCAATGACCTCAATAGTGTTTCCCAACGGATAGGTCTCAAGATGAACATGGACAAAACAAAGATCATGTTTAATGTCCATGTCACACCTATGCCGGTAGTTGTTGGGAACACTAAGCTCGAAGTTGTTGACGAGTATGTTTACCTGGGACAAATAGTCCGACTAGATAAGTCCACTTCGACCGAGAGGTCAATCGACGGATTCAACTCGGTTGGGCAAGGTTCTCGAGTGTCAGCCTCGTACCGGCAGGCGAAGTGTAGGGCGTTCCCCCACTAGATGGAATGACGACCTGGTAAGATATGCAGGAAGTCGATGGATGCAGGTGGCTCAGGACCGTGCTTTGTGGCATTCTTTGGGGGAGGCCTATGTTCAGCAGTGGACTTGTGAAGGGCTGTAATGATGATGATGATGTATTGTATACTTTCCTTTACATTTCCATTGTATAATTTAATTATGTTTAATTTGTGTGTATTTCAGAACAACACCCCATACAAACAAATGAATCAAATTCTATTAATTGTAACATAAACGATGTTCGTAAAGAAAACCTGCAAAACGATAGTCAACCAGTTATTATTAATAAAGGAAACCATCCTGCAAAGATTATGAAAAAGAAAATTTTGAAACAAAAGAGTGTAAATATACTTACGAAAAAATCATCAGGGGCATCAACAAAAGACATTCTCGCCAAACTCATTTCACACAGTCATAAGACGCAAAAGAACTCAGACATCACTGCGATTCTGACACAAGTTGAACAAACTCCAGTAGCACAACTAACAGAAATATTTAATTGTGATATTTGCGAATTTAAAACATCTCGTAAACGTAACATTTTGGCACATTATAAAGCGCACGTTGCTAAACAAATGTTCTGTTGTAATAATTGTGATTATAAATGTACAAATAAAAAAAGTTTGATATACCATATGAAAATACATACCGGAGAAAAACCTTTTTCGTGTAATGTCTGTGAATATAAATGTATTCAAAAAAGTAATTTGCAAACACATATGAAAATACATACTGGAGAAAAACCTTTTTCGTGTAATATCTGTGAATATAAATGTATTTACAAATGTACTTTGCAAAGACATATGAAAATACATACCGGAGAAAAACCTTTTTCGTGTAATATATGTGAATATAAATGTATAAATAAAAGTAATTTGCAAAAGCATATGAAAACCCATACCGGAGAAAAACCCTTTTCGTGTAATATCTGTGAATATAAATGTATTTACAAATTTACTTTACAAACACATATGAAAATACATACCGGAGAAAAACCTTTTTCGTGTAATATCTGCGAATATAAATGTATTCAAAAAAGTAAATTGCAAACACATATGAAAATACATACCAGAGAAAAACCTTTTTCGTGTAATATCTGTGACTATAAATGTATTAGAAAATATACTTTGCAAGCACATATACAATTACATTCTGGAGAAAAACCTTTTTCGTGTAATATCTGTGAATACAAAAGTAGTAGAAAAGGTAATTTGCAATCACATATGAAAATACATGCTGGAGAAAGACCTTTTTTGTGTAATATCTGTAAATTTAGATCTATAACAAAATGTCAATTGAAAACTCATTTAAAAATACACACTGGAGAAAAACCTTATTCATGTCATATCTGTGAATTTAGATGTAAAAGAAAAAGTAGTTTGAAAAGCCATATGAAGATACACACTAGGGAAAAACATACATAAAACACTCACGCCTGTCACCCAGAGGGGTAGGCAGAGACTACGGACTTCCATTTGGCGCGATCCTGACACACCTCTCTCGCCTCTTTCACATCCATATATCTACGCATACACGCTCGTCGGTTAAGGGTACTCCTAATCTGGCCCATTTTCAATGTATCGCCGATCTGGTCGATAAACCTTCGTCTAGGGCGTCCCTTCCCGACCCTGCCGTTCACTTCTGCAACATAAATTTGCTTTGTCACTCTTTCCTCGTTCATTCTTTCTACGTGACCAAACCACCGAAGCATTCCTTTCTTAATCCTTGTCACAACGTCATCTTGCAAACCACACTTTTCTCTTATTACACTATTTCTCACCCTGTCATTCAGATTCAGCCCTAGCATACTCCTTAAGGAACGCATTTCTACAGCATTTATTCTACTCTCATGCTTCTTCTGCCAGACCCAACTTTCACTACCATACATTAAAGTTGACACATTCTGACTCCTCACAATAGCGTGTAGAGCCCCATTCACTCTATTTCCTGCGTTCACTCGTCGTTCTATATCCTTATCATATCTACCATCCCTGCTAAATAAACATCCCAAATATACAAACTCATCCACTTGCTCAATCAACTCCCCTTCTATTCTTATTTTACATAAAGTTTTACTTTCTTCTCTTTCAAAAACCATCACTTTCGTCTTACTTGCGTTCACTTTCATACCCCTTTCTTTCAATGAACAATTCATTAAAGTAACCATCATTTGCAACTCGGCCGCCGACGATGCAAATATGACTTGATCATCGGCGTACAAAAGGCATTTGACGGTTGACTCACCCATTCTCAACCCACATTCTTCAACTTTCAAAGTTTGCAAACAACTGTCCATAAATAGGTTAAACAGCCACGGGGAAGCCACACATCCCTGTCTGACACCTTTATGAATGCCAAACCAGTCCGAGTAGACCCCGTTGATCCTGACACAAGCACTAGAGTCCCTATAAAGAGACCTTAATGCCTGTATCAAGCCAGCGCTCAACCCAAATGATTTCAGTGTTTGCCATAACACGTTCCTGTCCACTCTGTCATAAGCCTTTTCCAAGTCCAAGAACGCACAAAAAACTTTCTGGTTTTTAGCCAAAAACTTCTCCGCTATCATGCGCATGGAAAAGACTTGATCCGTACACCCCATCCCCTTTCTAAATCCAGCTTGCACATCCCAAATTTTTCCATCAGTTTCTTCCATAACTCTTTCAATTAACACCTTAGCATACAGTTTACCCACAATGCTAAGCAAGCTGATACCACGGTAGTTTTTACAGTCCTGCTGCGACCCCTTTCCCTTATATATTGGGACTATAACGGCTTTGCACCAGTCTTCCGGTACCCGTTTCAGTTCCCAACATAAATTAAACAAGGTGTGCAGCAGGCCTGCAACCACACCCTCACCAGCCCTTAGCATTTCGAGTGATACTCTATCATATCCGGCTGCCTTACCTGCTTTCATACTTTTCATTGCTTTCATTATTTCATCTACACTTATCTCCCTACCTCTCTCCACTTCTTCCGGAATTTCTATTTCACTTATTTCAGACGACTCTTCACTCTTAAACACGCTTTCAAAGTATTCCTTCCATCTCTTTAAATTCGAAACTTCATCATTCAGCATGCAGCCATTCTCGTCTCGTATAGCATTCATTCTAGGCTGTTTTGAAATTCCCCTGGCAGTTCTTACGAGCTTCCAGAACTTTTTAATATTTTCCTGGAAGTTATCAGATATCCTTCTATCATTTTTATCTATCCTTTCTTGCTTTTTCCTTTCAACAACTTCTTTTACTCTCTTATTTATACGTCTAAAGTTTGCCTTTTTTCTTTCAATCTCATCATTCATACCGCCAGAATTACCAGCTTTAGTTGCTAGTAAATCTAGCCATGCTCTCTTCTTTGCTTCAACTTCCATCCGTACCTCATCATCCCACCACAACGTATTACTTTTCCTTTCATTCGTTCTCTTACTTACACCGCATACTTCGGTGGCTGCATCCACCAGAACTCTCTTAATATTATTCCATACATTCTTCAATTCTAAATCATTCATACATAATTCATTCAACCCACTTATATTTTCCCTCAGTCTGCATTTATACTTCTCTTTCACACCTTCATCTTGTAACCTCTCTATTCTTATACGCTGTAACGCAGTGGTAGACACCGATGTCCGATGCCGCCAACGTCTGAATAGACCATTAATTCGGCATAAGACCAAGTAATGATCCGTCCCTACGTTGGACCCCCGGTAAACCCTTGTATCTACCACTGCGCTCCTCATTCTTTCATCCACAATTATAAAATCTATCATGCTTCTATCATCCCCTCTTTCCCATGTATACATGTGAATCCTCTTATGGCGACAGAAAGTGTTCGCCACAAAAAGATTCTTTTCCACACATACGGTGAGGAGGTCTTCACCATTCTCATTTATTCTTTCATCGCCAAACGTTCCTAATATCCTTTCATAACCAGACCTCTTCACCCCCACCCTTCCATTAAAATCTCCTAACATAATAATATTTTCATTTTCCTTACATTTCATCAACACCAGCCTTACCATGTCCCAAAACTGCTCTCGGATATAAGTGGGCTTAGACATATCTGGGGCGTACACCCCTAGCACAAACAACTTCTTTAAGCCCACTTTCATTCGTATCCACAGCAGCCTTGGGCTAACACATTCATACTCTTTCACACATTGACCCATTCTTTCTGAAAGGATGACACCGACTCCCCAATAAGCGACCAATAAGCGGTATACATGCCATGTGCAGTGACATCTCTTCCCTTTCGTTTCGTCTCGTTTACACATAACACATCTATTCCTCTATCATTCATCATTTCGCATACTTCATCCATCTTATCATTCATTGCTCCACATACATTCAGCGTAGCCAGACGGGCCTCCGCAATCCACTTTTCGCCCCTCCGGGAGACAGGACGTGACGGGTGGCGAACCTCGTCGCCGGTTTTTCTCCCGGAGATTCTTCGCACCCCTGCCCCATTAAAGGGGCGCCGGGAACTCGGGGCCATTTCTTTTTCTACTAGGCTCATGGTGCGAACTAAGGGGGTGGTAGATTTTACGCCGCTACCATACGGCGAGGAGCCGAGTCTGTCGTTTAGGGAAAAACCTTTTTCGTGAAACATCTGGTAAAATGTGTGCATATTATGTAAATATAAAAGTGTACCATATAAAACTCTATTTTTTAAGAATTTCTTATGAAATTATAGAATGAGTAGAAAATCCCATCTGTGTTTAATGTACCTGACCTTATGTGCTAATTGAAACTGCATTTATTCTGAAGAAGCTAATTCAAAAACCGAAAACAAAAACATAACAATACTTTAAAATATTAATGAAATGGGAGGTTAGTGGACACAGACCAGACATTTATGTTTTTAAAGGATAGCTTATGTTTTCCTTTTCGGTGTTTATCGTTACCGTTACTGCCTATAAAAGTTCTCTGCTGGACATAGGCTTCCCACATGGTTCGCTCATGGTCCCCCAAATTTAATTTAAGTTGTTATTAGGAAGACGCTGCTGCCTGCCTCCTGGTTTATCTTCCTCCGTCGCCTCTTACGACACCCACGGGACGATATGGGCCGTGCATATTCTTACACCGCCGCTACACGGTTCATTTAATTATTATTTGAACTTTACAATAACTAGTTTTTCCTTGATGATGCCGTGAGGCGAAACCGGTTGGTTTTTATAGGTTATTAATAGTTAAAAATTGTGAAACTAGAAAAAGTGTTTATGCAAATCTCAAAAATAATCTAGTTTTTCTCAAAAGCAACTGGCCACAGCTAAAATATGTTTAATACACCTAAGTTCCATCAACCGCAATCGGCTGCACCTAACTGTGGCCAACTAAACCTCAGTGTAACCGAATTTCCGCTTTTAGCCGTAATATATATGTCGGAGCGTCTATAAAATACCCGGTTGGATCGAGGTAGAATGGAGGGTATATCGAGAAACCCCCTCTTGTGTCTGTAGTATAAAGTTCACTGTAGGTGCCGTGCGCGGGAGATTCCGCTTAAGTCATTCAACGAGTGTGGTCATTCGACTAGTGCTAAGATAGTGTCTGGTTCGGTTCGTGGTTGTAATTATTCTAGTGTCGGCAAGGAGGATTGGTGTTGCTGAGAGGCTGCCCTGTGTTAAATTGGGATAAGTAGCGTTGCTGTTGGTTTACATATTTTGGTGTTATCATGTAATTACGTACCTCACGTTACACTGGTGTGTGATTGTGGCAGAGACGTGTTACGGTGTGGTCGAACTGTAATTTCACTATACTGAATGTATAGTGCGTTACGTTGTCTTATTACCGATAATGATTAATTGCGTAAGCACGAGAGCAAGTTGAACATCCGCTCTCACACTTTTATTATTTTTAACAGTTAACGCTATCCTGATGTATTTCAAAGATCAAAATTGGAATCCTATGTTGTAATTCTCCGACATCAGAAGTGGGATCTCCTGTTGTCATTTCCGATATATATGTCGAAACTTTATCACAAGAGCCTACTTCTGATCTCACAAATACATCAGGATAAAGTTAATTGTTAAAAATATAATAAGTGTGAGAGTGAATGTTCATCTTGCTCTCTTTCTTACGCAATGAATAATTATCAGCAATAAAACAGCGTAATGCACTATACATTCAATATAGCGCAATCGCAATCACACACTGGTGTAACGTGAAGGACATAATTACATGATAACACCAAAGTATGCAAATCAACACTAATAACATCTCAATGTAACACAGAGCAGCCTCAGCAACACCATATTCCTCGCCTGCGCCAGAAGAATCGCCACAACAGACAGAACCACTATACTGCCTTAGCACCACTACTACTACAAGTATAAAAAGTACTCTGTGGCTCAGACTTAGACGGACTCTCCCACGCACAGCGTATTATTTTATACTACGCGTTCGTTTCGAGTTTGCCCTCGACCGTTATG